ACTTCGAGGTGACCCTCATCAAGGTTGGTCTTTGGGGCAGTCTTCTGCCCAGGTGCTAGAGCGAGCTGGTTTCCCTAGCTCGCGAGCTGAAATATTCTTGGAGTATTCCCTTATTGGTAGCTCGGGGAACCTGGAGCTCGCGTTGTAGCGAGCCTCTCCTTTACCTTGCCACCACATAGCGAGCTGCTTTATGAGCCTATCACTTAGCCGTACCGGAATACGATGTTGAGCTGTCGCTTATGCTGAGTCAGCATCCACGTGTCGCCGTTTCATAGGTGGGGTCAAATTATCCTTCATCAATTGCCCCCCACTCCTCGGGCTAAGAGTGTCGCCTTAGCGCGGGGAGTTTATGAAGCGCGATGGACTGATTTGACCGAAATTCAAACTTGATTGACCGTAATAAAGGCGCTGGCGGGAATCAAGAGATCTTCTGACTCCTTCGACTTCTCGGATTCCGAAAACGTGCTGAGGTGGCCATTAATTCCGAATGTCGGGCAGCTGCGACTACCTTAATCGTGGAAGATGTGCCGCCAATCGCCTTCGATTTTCAGAAGGCGTGCAGTCACAGCGCCCGCGAGCCGTTGGATTTGTTTCGATCCGGGCCATCGGTTTGAGAGGGCGAGGGCTATAAATGGGGAGCCCCCCTCGGCCCTACCTCCGTCCACGCCATCTTGCTTTGGATTCTGAGGTTGCGTACTTCACCTGGTCTACTCGAGTTTCTCAGTCCGCCCCGTTTCGTCTACTCTGGTGAATCCCAATCGCCGTCAGCCATGTCTGGGTGCCCACGCCATACCTACCACAGGGGCGATGGTCAGGATGATGATGATGCTCCCTCGAGCTCGGGGGGAGCCTGGGAGCATATCCCGGAGGCTCGGGAGGCCTCTGGCGACATGGCGTCCACTTCTAGGGGGAGGGAGCCTAATACCTTTGGCCCTTCCTTGATGACAGCGGAGAGGCTCAGGTCTCTGATCCGCTACTTTCGCCTTCCTGGGGACCTGGTTTACAGCCTCCCTAGTGGTAACTTCCCTTGTGAGCATGGTCCCAATGAGATAGTGATCTTTCAGGAACAGCTCGAGGCTGGCCTGCGTCTTCCTCAGCACCCCTTGATAGTGGAGGTGCTGAACCACTTCAACGTTACTATAGACCAGCTTCACCCCAACACTGTTCGAAACATGGTTGGGACTATATCCTTATGTCACGAGTACTGCCTCCCTTTAGACCTTGACATTTTCGCCTCTATCCTTTGTATAAAGAATGTTGATCCTGGGGTTCCTCCGGAGAGGCGCT